TGTTTTATTTTGATTCACAATTCCCTGAAATGCTGTTCATTTTTTTCCTTTGCCTGCATTTTTCTCTTTGAGTTTCTGCTAGTTATTTTTGATCACCATGTCATTAAGTTCACTAATGTTTTCTTCAACAGGATCTAATCAGTTGTTATTCTCATTCAGTAACTTTTAGATTTCCTATAGTATAGTTTTCTGCTTAAGAATTTTCTTTGCTTCCTTTTTATATCTTCTATTTCTGCCCACATAGTCTTTTTCTTTAAATATTTGAGCAAGTTGATAACAATTTTTTTTGAAAGCAAGTGATGGAGGGTGTGCATGCACACAAGCAGTGGGGGATGGGGCAGAGGGAGAGGAAGAGAGAGAATACCAAGCTGGGCATGGAGCCCAATGCAGGATTTGATCTCACGACACTGAGATCATGTGACGTGAGCAGAAATCAAGAGTTGGTCGCTTAACCGACTGAGCCACCTGGGTGTCCCTAGGTTGATAATACTTATAATAGGTGTTTCAAAATCATGTTTGCAATCCACCATATCTATCATTTTTGTGTCTATTTGTAATGACTGATTTTTCTCTTGTCACATTTTCCCATTTCTTCATAATGTATTAGGTTTGTTTGTTTGTTTTTTTTAAACTTCAGACCAAAAATGAATGTTACATTGTTTCATAGAACAGAATTTTGTTTCTTTTTATTTAATGACAGTTGATATTTGTTTTGTCAAGCATTTGGTTATTTATAAATCAAAGTGATCTTGTTAAGACTTTGTAAGCTTTGTTAAGTATATGTCTAAATGATTCTAATATTATGTTAACCTTACTACTAAGAAATGCCCTAGCTCGTTACTGAATTCCCAAGTATTCAATGAAGACATTTACACTCTGTGTGAGCATTGGGAAATGTTTATCTTATAGTATTCCTGACATTTGCTGTCTGGCCTTATATAACACTTTACCTTATGCATGAATGCATTAGTATTCAAGCAATAGATTCAAAGATACCTGCTATGGACAATATTTGTTTCATTCATATTTTGAAGCCTTATTCCTAATGAAATGGTATTTGGAGGTGGGAACTTTGGGAGGTAATTAGGTCATGAGGATAGAGCACTTGTGAATGAGATTAGTATCTTCATAAGAAGAAACATGAGAAAGATGATCTTCCTTTCCAACTTATGGAGATACAGCAAGAAGGCATCTGTCTGCAATCATGAAGATTACCCTTATGAGGAACTAAACAGTCTGGCCCCTTGATCTTGGACTTCCTAGCCTCCACTATTGCAAGAAATTAAGGTCTATTGTTCTAGCCACTCAATCTATGGTATTTTTGTTATAGCAGACCAAACTAATAAGGACAATACTTTCATGCAGATTTCTGGAGCTCTTTTTCTGTGCAGTCCATTCTTTCTATAGTACGCCCATTCCTGTCCACAATTTTCATCCAGAAGACTTCCTGAATTCTAATCTCCAGCTCTTCAACTCAGCTAGACTGCTATACTTTGCACCGACTTCCTAGATACATTACTGCCAGGGAAATCACCTCAGAAATCACCCGGGGAAATTACAGGACTCTCATCATATGTTTCCCCTTTCTCAGAATCAGAGTTCCTGTGGTCCAATGCATGAAAGTACTTGTTTTGTTTTATATTTTGCCCAATTTTTTAGTAGCTTATGAAAAAGGGCCAAACTTTAGTACTAGTTATTTTAATAGAATGAAAACAGTCTCTGACACTTGTATTTAAATTAAAAATCAAAATTACAGTTGGGAATGGACCAAGATAGCAATATAAGAGGCTCCTGAACTAGCCTTCAACCATAGGTATATTGAATGTACAGCTCTACATGAAGCAATTACCACTGAACAAAATCCAAAAAGTGGTTGAACAACCCCTAAACACTGGGTAAGTGAGAATACAGTCACATCGAAGTGGGTAGGAAAAGCTGAGGCACTCCCACCATAAACAACACCTCCAGCATAGTGACATACAATTGGGAGAGAACCCCCTTTCCCCAACTCCCAGCTTCTCTCTAAGCAGCAAAGGGTTTGGATCACACATCTAGTGCCCCAACCTTTAAGACTTCCACCTAAGGGATGTGTCCCCCAATACACCCAGCTCTGAAAACTAATGAGGCTTACATCCAGGAGACCCACATGATTACAGCAAACATACAGCAGTTGCTAACAAGCACATGAGCACTTGTAGCAGCTATTCCCCCAGGCCTCAGTGTATAGGGAACAAAGCCTGATCATCTCTCAGTTTTTGTCTGAAAGGAGTCCAGCTACATACTTTAAAAGCTATGGATTGAGGGCCAGACTTCTAATTTAGCACATATTTAGGGACTATTTTCCCGAGAGACTGGGAAAAATGGTAGACATCTCCAGTTTCTCCCTCTGCTTCACACCAAGATACCAATAACTCCCTGGAAGAGCTTGCATACGTTTATGGTTTTCAGCTTTTATGGCTCCTGTCTGAGGATCCCAGAGAGCCTGGCTCTAATAACCAGTGGGGCTTGCATTCATAAATCACACAGGACTGTAACAGATATAGAAGCAGTTCTTAATGGGCACAAGAGCACCCAAAGAAATTCCAGGACCACATGGTTATGCTGGTAAAATTCCACTAAATATTTAAAGAAAAACTAATATAAATTTTTTGCGCACTATAATAAAAAAAAAGGAAGGGACATTCCAAACTTATTTTATGAAGTCAGCATTACCCTGTTGATACCAAAGCCAGACAAGGACACTACACTAAAAGAGAACTGGAGGAGGAAGAACACTACTCAACTTAAATGTCAGCATCAAAGGCTCACCAAAACTGGTTCTAGCTCTGGGGGAAGAAGGTGGAATAGGAGGACCATGAGTGCCCCATGGCCTATATTTACAAATTTAAACTATTCACATCCAAGTCAATAAACTGGAGAATGATCTGAAGACTGGCAGAACAAACTCCACAACTCAATATAGAAAAGAAGCTACATCTGAAAGGTTAGGAAAGTCAGAAGGGTGGAGGGAGGCTGCCTCCAGGAGGGAGGGAGATGTGTGTGAGGAGAGGGCAGAGAAATGAGCCCTTGCATCAGGGAACTTCCACAGGGAAGATTAATCCCCAAAATACTTGGTTTTAAAACCAGAGAGGTTGAATTCTGTGAGTTTTTTAAAACCAGTGGGACTTGGAGTCTAGAGCTTTAAAATTCAGCTGATTCAGGACAGGGCAATCCAAGAGGGCAAGTGATAGCTGGGTTGCCACCCCTAAAGAGACAGCAGCCTCTGCCAGACTCATCTATATGCTGTCCACAAGAGACTCATTTTAGACCTAAAGATTGAAAGTGTGGAGATGGAGAAACATCTATCATGCAAATGGATGTCAAAAGAAAGCCAGAGTAGTAATATTTATATTGGACAAAATAAACATAAAAACAAAGACTGTAACAAGAGACAAAGAAGGACACTATATAATAATAAAGGGGAAAATCCAATAAGAAGATATAACAATTATAAATATTTATGCACCCAACATAAAAGAACCCAAACACATAAAACAGTTCATACACATAGAAAGGAACTAATTGATAATAATACAATAATAGTAAGGGATTTTAACACCCCATTTACATCAATGGACAGATCATCCAAACAGAAAATCAACAAGGAAAAATAACTTTGAATGATGCACTGGAAAAGATGGGTTTAACAGATGTATTCAGAACATTCCATCCTAAAACAGCAGAATACACATTCTTTTCAAGTGCACATGGAACATTCTCCAGAAGAGATCACATATTAGCCCATTGGACAAGCCTCAACAAATTCAAAAAGAGTGAAATCATACCATGCATCTTTTCTGAATATAATACTATGAAACTAGAAGTTAACCACAAGAAAAAAATCTGGAAAGGCCACAAATACATGGAGGTTAAATAAATGCTACTAAACAATTTATGGGTCAATGATGAAATAAAGGAAGAAATCAAAAACTACATGGAAACAAATGAAAATGAAAATGCAATGGTCCAAAAACCTCTGGGATGCAGCAAAAGTGGTTGTAGGAGGGAAGTTTATAGCAATATAGGTTTATCTCAAGAAGCAAAAAAAAACCTCAAACAACCTCACCTGACACCTAAAAGAGCTGGAAAAAGAACAAATGAAGCCTAAAGCCAGCAGAAGAAAGGAAATAATAAAGATTAAAGCAGAAATAAATCATATAGAAACTAAACAAACAATAGATCAATGAAACCAGAAGCTGGTTTGTTGAAAAAAAATTAATAAAATTGATAAACTCTAGCCAGAATTATCAAAAAGAGAAAAACCCAAATAAAATCACAAATGAGAGGATGAATAACAATTGACACCACAGAAACACAAACAAGTATAAGAGAATATTAGGTAAAATTATATGCCAACAAATTGGACAACCTAGAAGAAATGGATAAATTCCTAGAAACATATAAACTGCCAAAATTGATCAGAAGAAATAGAAAATTTGAACAGATTGATAACCAGTGAGTAAATTGAATCCATAATCAAAAAGCAAAAGTCCCAACAAACAAAAGCCCAGGACCAGATGGCTTCACAGGCAAATTCTACCAAACATTTAAAGAAGACTTAATATCCATTCTTCTCAAACTATTTCAAAAAATAGAAAAGGAAGGAAAACTTCCAAATTCATTCTATGAAGCCAGCATTACCCTGATGCCAAAACCAGACAAAGACACCACTAAAAAAGAGAACCATAAGCCAATATCCCTGATGAACAGAGATGCAAAAAATCCTCAAAAAATACTAGTAAACCAAATCCAACAATACACTAAAAAAATTCATTCACCACAACCAAATGGGATTTATTCCTGGGTTGCAAGGGTGGTTCTATATTCACAAATCAATCAATGTTACACAACACATCAATAAGAAAAAAGATAAGAAACATATGATTATTTAAGTAGATGCAGAAAAAGCATTTGACAGAGCAACATCCTTTCAAGATAAAAACCGTCGGAAGAAGCAGAAGATGGCGCTCACCAGCTTTTTACCTGCACCTACTCAGCTATCTCAGGACCAGCGTGAGGCTGAAGAAAAGGCAAGATCCCAGAGATCATGACAGACCTCACTGGTCTCCTCCTGAAGAGAACCTACCCCATACGGGTACTGGAAATGCTGGATACCTCAGTTATTAGAGGATTTTGGAGGTGGAGGTGCTTTTCCAGAGATCCATGTGGCCCAGTATCCACTGGATATGGGGTGAAAGAAAAAAAATGTCAAATGCACTGGACATTCCGGTGGTTGCTGAAGGAAAAATTAAGTATGATGCAATTGCTCGGCAAGGACAGTCAAAAGACAAGGTCATTTATAGCAAGTATACTGACCTGGTTCCCAAGGAAGTCAAGAATGCAGATGACCCAGACCTGCAAAGACCTGATAAAGAAGCCATTAAAGAGATAACGGAAAAGACAAGGGTAGCCTTAGAAAAATCTGTATCACAGAAGGTTGCCACAGCCATGCCAGTTCGAGCTGCTGATAAACTGGCTCCTGCCCAACATATTCGACACACACCATCTCAACAAGCAGTGGTTTTCAACTCTGGAGCTAAACAGAGAGTTATTCAGATGGTGGAAATGCAGAAAGAGCCAATGGAGCCTCCAAGGTTCAAGATTAATAAGAAAATTCCCCGAGGACCACCTTCCCCTCCTCACCTGTCATGCATTCTCCTAGCCAAAATATGACCATGAAGGAGCAACAAGAGTGGAAGATCCTTCCTTGTATTTCAAACTGGAAAAATGCAAAGGGGTATACAATTCCATTAAAGAGGTCTGCAGACAGTTCACATCAATGAGAACTTTGCCAAGCTGGCTGAAGCCCTCTATATTGCTGATCAGAAGGCTCATGAAGTTGTAGAAACACGTGCTCAAGTAGAGAAAGATGGCTCAAAAAAGAAAAGGAGAAACATGAAGAGAAACTTAAAGAAATGGCCCAGAAAGCCAGGGAGAGAAGAGCTGGGATCAAAACCCATGTGGAAAAACAGGATGGGGAGGTACGTGAGAGGGATGAAATCCGGCAACAGGCGAAAGAGAGACTGCACGACGGGAATCTTTCCAGGGCGTCTCCTGAGAAGAGGTAGAAACCATAGGGAAATGGAAATTGAGATATCAGTGAAATCATTGCTCTTGGTGTGCCCAATCCTCGAATGTCCAATGAAGTTCAGTATGACCAAAGGCTTTTCAACCAGTCCAAGGGTATGGACAGTGGTTTTGCAGGTGGAGAAGATGAAATTTACAACATTTATGATCAAACCTGGAGAGGTGGTAAAGATATGGCCCAGAGTATTTACAGGCCCAGTAAAAATCTGGACAAGGACATGTATGGTGATGACCTAGAAGCCAGAATAAAGACCAACAGATTTGTTCCCGTTAAGGAGTTTTCTGGTTCAGACCGTAGGCAAAGAGGCCGAGAAGGACCAGTTCAGTTTGAGGAAGATCCTTTTGGTTTGGACAAGTTTTTGGAAGAAACCAAACAGCATGGTGGCTCTAAAAGACCCTCAGATAGTAGCCACCCCAAGGAACATGAGCATGAAGGCAAGAAGAGGAGGAAGGAGTAGATACACCTCTCTTCAAAGTGAATGAACTTTTATCCATAACCCTAATGATGCAAGTCAGATGGGCAAACACTTTGCAAATGGCCAGGATAAAAACCATTTCTGAGTGTCAGACCCCAGCCCTACTTTTTATGATGGGAGCAAGGGGGGGGGGGATGGAAAATTCTTTGAACTATTTAGTTTTTTTTTTTTTACGTGTAGGTTGTGTTTGTGCTTCTCCTACCTTTTGTCATTTATAGAACATACTGCCCCACACATGAAATAAGACCACTTTCTTTTATGTGACATTAGTACTTTGGGGTTAATATTTTGTGTAAGACTGACTGCTGATGAATAAAGTTTCCCCAACCACAGGGAGTAGAAGGATGTTCACATACTGGAACTGTTCTGCCAAATGACGTTTGCCCGTTAGGCTCCGTTTTAATTTGGAGTGGGGAAAGTAAGCTCTTGCTTGGTGCAACTATTTGTTTCAAATAAAAACATTTAGACAAAAAAAAAAAGATAAAAACCCTCAACAAAGCAGGTTTATAGAGAACATATCTCAATATAATAAAGGCCATATATGAAAAATGTACAAGTAACATCATCCTCAGTGGGAAAAAACTGAGAGCTTCCCCCCAAGGTCAGGAAAAAGACAAGGATAGCCATTCTTACCACCTTTATTCTACATAGTACTGGAAGTCCTAGTCACAGAAATCAGACAATAAAAAGAAATTAAAGGTATCCAAATTGGTAAGGAAGAAGTAAAACTTTCACTATTTGCAGATGACATGATATTATATCTAGAAAACCTAAAAGACTTCACCAAAAAAACTACTAGAACTGATAAACAAATTCAGTAAAGTCTCAGGATACAAAATCAATGTACAGAAATCTGTTGCATTTCTATACACCAATAATAAAGGAGCAGAAAGAGAAACTAATAAAACAATCCCATTTACAATTTCACCAAAAATAATAAGGTACTCAGGAATAAATCTAACCAAAGAGATGAAAGACCTGTCCTCTAAAACCATAAAACATTGATGAAAGAAATGGAAGATGACACAGAAATGGAAAGAAACTCTATGTTCATGGATTGAAAAAATATTGTTAAAATGTCTATACTACCCAAGTAATCTACACATTTCATGCAATCCCATCAAAATACCAACAGAATTTTTCACAGAACCAGAACAAACAATTCCAAAATTTGTTTGATACCAGAAAAGACCCTGAATAGCCAAAGCAATCTTGAAAAAGAAAAGCAAAGTTGGAGGCATCACAATTCCAGACTTCAAGTTATAGTACAAAGCTGTAGTACTCTAAACAGTATGGTACTGGCACAAAAATAGATATATAGATCAATAGAACAGAATATAAAACCCAGAAATAAATCCACAATTATATGGTCAATGAATTGTTCACAAAGCAGGAAAGATTATCCAATGGGAAAGGGACAGTCTCTTCAACAAATGGTATTGAGAAAACTGAACAGCAACATGCAAAAGAAAAAAAAAAAACCGGACCACTTTCTTACACCATACACAAAAGTAAATTCAAAAGTATTAGAGACCTAAATGTGAGACTTGAAACCATAAAAATCCTAAAAGAGGACACAGTTAGTAACCTCTTATTGCCCATAGCAACTTTTTTCTAGATATGTCTTCTGAGGTAAGGGGAACAAAACCAAAAATAAACTATTGGGACAATATCCAAAGAAAAAGCTTCTGCACAGCAAAGGAAACAATCAACAAAACTAAAAGGCAACCTATGGAATGGGAGAAGATATTTGCAAATGACATATCCAAGAAAGTCTTAGTCTCCAAATTATATAAAGAACTTATACAGCTCAACACCCAAAAAACAAATAATCTAATTAAAATATGGACAGAAGACAGAAACAGATATTTCTCCAAAGATAACAGATGGCCAACAGACATATAAAAAGATGTTCATCAGCACTTACCATCATGGAAATGCAAATCAAAACTACAATGAGATATTACCTCACACCTGTCAGAATGGCCAAAATCAACAACACAAGAAATAACAGGTGCTGATGAGGCTGTGGAGAAAAAGGAGAAAAAGACCCTTCTTGCACTGTTGATATGAAGGCAAACTGGAGCAGCCACTGTGGAAAACAGTATGGAGGTTCCTCAAAAAGTTAAATATAGAACTCCCCTATGTACCAGGAATCACACTACTGGGTATTTATCTAAAGAACACAAAAACACTAATTCAAAGGGATACATTCAGTCCTATGTTTACAGCAGCATTATTTATAGTAGCCCAGATATGGTAGCAACCCAACTGTCCATCAAATGATGAATGGATAAAGATGGGATACACACACACACACACACACACACACACACACACACACACACACTGGAATATTTTTCAACCAAAAAGACCAAAATCTTGCGATTTGCAATGATATAGATGGAGCTACAGCATAATTCTAAGCAAAATAAATCATCAGAGAAAGACATATGATTTCATTCATATGTGGAATTTAAGAAACAAAACAAAAATGCAAAGGCAAAAGGGAGAGAAACCAAGAAAAATATTCTTAATTATAGAAAACAAATGGATGGTTACCAGAGGGGTGGGAGTGAGTTAATGGGTTAAATAGGTGATGGGGATTAAGGAGTGCATTTTTTTGTGATGAGCACAGGGTGATGTATGGAATTGTTGAATCACTATGTTGTACACCTGAAACTAATATAACACTATGTTAAGTAACTGGAATTAAAATAAAAAGCAAAAAAGAGAAGAGAAGAGAAAAAGAGAAGAGAAGAGAGAAGAAAAAATTCATTGAAAAAAAAAAAGGAAGGGACGGAGGGAGGGAGGGAGGTAGGGGGGCCGGCCTCATAGAAATAGAGTAGAAAAGTGGTTGTCAGGGGCTGGGGGACAAAAAAAATAGAGAGAGGTTGCTAAAAAGGTACAAACTTTAAGCAGTAAGACGAAGGGCTGAGTACTTAATGTATAACCTGGCAACCATACTTGACAACACTCTATTGTATAACTGAGATTTGCTTAAGAGTAGAACTTACTTAAATGTTCACACACACCAAGTTTGATGATTAATGTATTAACTCATTGGGGGGGAATCCTTTCATAATGAGTGTGTGTACCAAATCATCACATTGTGCACTTTAACTATCTTATAATTTTGTCAGTTATAGTGCAATAAAGTTGAAAAAAATAAAAATCACAAAACAGCAACTACAAATGCACACAAACCATGATCTAGACAGTTTAAAATATTAACTTATCCTCCACAACAAGACAAAAATATAAATAACTCTAAAATCCTGATAAGACATTCACTTTTTTACATAATTAATTTATGACTTAACATTTCTGTGGGTATTTTTGGATGTGTAAATTATATTGTCTATTTATTTCCTACCTCCTAAAATATAAATTAAAAATCAAACTCTTAAATAAACTTTTAACAATATTTGTCAAGGGATTGTTCCCAGAGTGTATTTTAAATATTTTAAAAAATAGAAGAAAAAACATACAACTCTCAAGTGTCACCATTAATAAAATTAAATGATGTGCCTGCTTAATTTATTGACTGTGTCAAAAATGATTATGATGAACAGAATGAAGGGAAAGAAAATATTATGCAAAGGGTATAACATGAGGAATTTTGAAGAGCTAAATCTGTTTAATATTCATATAACATAAAAAGTAAGCCTGAGTGATAAGAAATAAGAGTCTAAAGACAGCCAGGAAAAACATCATGAAACCATGTCTAATTATAATATTGTCAAATAAATCTATTATACATCACAGAGAATAAAATTTCTATTTTTAACATTTTTAAATATTGATTTTGAAATATCTCACTACCAGCTAATAGCCTCCATAAAAACAGACTCAATCTTAAGCATTTTTGTATTTCTTGTGCCCAGCATGAGTCCCAGAATGTAGCTTGATAGTCATTGAATGAAAAAAATAAATTAATGAATGAATAGATAAATTAATGTGTATTATATGCTTGGTAGAATATTGAAATAGGATTCATGTGGCTGTTATCAATAACTGTGAGAAATACTCAGAGTAAAGTAATCTAGATAAAACACAAATTGCCTTTCTTTGGGAATTTTGCCCAGCCCACTCCAACACTCACCCCTCACCCCCCACACACCCCAGCCACCAATCAGAAAATAATTAATTGCTTAGGCTCTACTCTGGAAATGAAATGGACCCCTGAAATTATTCTAGTTATGTAATTCTGACTTCCATACTATTGTTCCAGTGGAAAAAAAAGCAATTCAAAATCAAATGTGAATTAAATTGGTTCAGAGCATATTACTTAAATCCTTCAAATCATTAAGCTGCTTAGACACAGTAATAGGGCACCCAATCACCTGAGTTAGATCTGATTAGAACCTCAAACCTTACATATGTGAAAGGCAATTTGAATGACTGACAGCTGTGACAGTTATGAGACAGAAAAACAAAAGTAGGGATATAGTAGAATCTTCTCAAACATATGAGCCTACTCAGAGAAAGCATATTTTCTTACTGCCTATTGGTATTTTTCTGTTGAAATTTGAATTTTTTTTTATAACCAGTCCAAGAAGTTCTCATTCACATTACCACTAAATTTTCCATGGACCCTGGAAAGGGGTCACTTGAGAATGTCACACAACCAGACAAAAAAATTACTCAAGCTGCATAGATGTTCCCTTGTATAAAGAGGCAAGCTGAAAAAAGCAAATATGTAAATATGTTACCTGTAGGACAAAAAAAATAATAATGAGAATATTCTTTCCCCATCAATACATCTCCTTGAAAAGCCATAGAAATGTACTTGCAAGAAATCCAGGTTTTCTAGCAGAACATTAACAACAACAAAAAATAATTTATTTTGCAATCTAAGGCTAGCTTCCTTATTTAAAAATGGCATTTAACTTTCTTATTGACTGCTTTCTTGGTTTTTAAAAAATTACATTGTAAAAATATGGGAAATTAGAAATATGCCTTTAGGGTGCCTGGGTGGCTCAGTTGGTTAAGCGACTGCCTTCGGCTCAGGTCATGATGCTGGAGTCCCTGGATCGAGTCCCACATCGGGCTCCCTGCTCAGCAG